CGCTCAATGAGGGTGACGTCTTTCGTGCGTCCACAGTAGACAAGTTGGTTGCCGTATTCTAGGGGCGGCCTGACGTAGGCCTCATAGAGTATTTGGAGGTCCAGACGAATGATACGGGAGAAGGTGCGTCGGATCATCTGTAAAATGGCGAATGCCTTTTGCGTCGATTTCTCATGGTGCAGTAAGAAGGACAAATTTTAGCAGACCCAGATATCCTAATCTTTTTTGGCGTCTAACCTCATGATGTTTTCTGGTGCTTTCTGACCATGAATAACAAAGACTTTCGCTAAGTCTCCCCCAAACAAGTATGGACGCACTTTTTGTCATTCAGAGGAAGGTGCTAGTCCAACGACAACTGCTTGACAGCGTCTACATCCATTTGGAGGGCACTGGCATTGAAATTCCATTATTTCAAGTCGTCCGCAAAAAGTAGACACGGACTTCAGAGGACATCTAGAAGTTCGTTTGTGTATATCAGAAGCAGCAGAAGTCCCAAACGGAGCTTTGAGGAACACCAATGTAGATCGGCGCTGGAGAAGAGTAGGTAGCACCTACCCTCACTCGGAATGATCAGCCTGGTTGGAACGCCTTATCCAGTGTAGTATTCTCCCTTGAAGCAGATATGACCATAGTTTGTGGAACAGTATATTCCACGAATAAAACCGCCAATTTGAAGTTCCCATTGATTAGGCGAAATTAATTTCGGTTTACTTTTAATGAGCAGCAAATCAACACTGAAAGATTCGGAATCCGTCCTGACGAGACTTTTGTAAACAGAATTCAACGGATACATTGCAGCCATCGATCCTAAGACGCACACTCCAAATTTGTCTTCAAACATTTTGTGAACGAGGTAAACTTCAACATGAAGTTGCGGCATATGACATCATTTAATAAAACCTCCAAAATCTCATGCGGTGGAATTTTTCTTTGAAAGCAGCCAATCCATACTCACGGTTCTCAATGAAAGCATGGTTCGTAACGGCTTCCAGCGCTATAGCATGCGACATTGATGAAAATAATGGAGCATTTTGCAGAAAAGTTTGGTTTGCGTGTGTTTTTTCCTATTTTATTTTGAAATGACCTGATGAGCATGTGAAAAAAATCGCGCCCTCTTTGTCCGCTCAAAATCAAGATGTAGCAGCCTTTTGCAACCTGTACAGCAAAACATTTTCTATCGTTGCAGAAGGCGTCTAGCCAAGGAATCCATCACAGCCGGTAAGTTATTTATCATAATCAGTAATTGTCGGGTGCGGTGCAGG